AACAAAAGTGCACTTAAGAGGACCTGGACCAGGCTTTACCATTTCCTCATTAATCTATAGAGCCGGAAGTTAATCCATTACATTTATGAAGCACTATGGATCTCTTTTAGCCTGAGGTGCAATCATCACCTTAAAGAATGATGCCTGTCTCCATACAAATGGTAATTAACTGGGACTATGATGGCATATAAACATATATTGCTCATTATTTCTTTGACAAGTTCAATATACCAATTTATGGCAGATGCATGGGTGCAATTTTGAACGTAGTACTAAATAAGGATGAACAAATTTGTGTCATGAATTCTAGAGCTAACACTATTAGATTAGAGAAAATAACGACTTGAATTTTGAATCGCCCACCTCATAAAACCCCCAACAGTTCCTCTGTTCTTCCCAACCACAGTTCACTCTAAGAGTGTAACCATGTTTCACTTAAGTTCACAGCTGTCTGGGGGTTTGGGCTACATCACAATGGATTGTAAGCGGTGATCTCCATAAGTGAGAGACTCCACACGCACCAGAGGAAATGGGTAGCGCGCATCACCCCGAGTCAACCTTGACACAGGCAAAAAACAACATCAACATGAGCCGGGATGCAGAGGCAACGAAAGCTACAGTACTTGAGCCAATCTGCACTGCTGATGTTAAAGATGTTCATGGTTATATGTGGGGAAAGGGGCAAAGTATCACAGCTTTCTCTGAGTAAATCCATTACCCTGCTTTCTGACAGAAAACTACTGCAACTTTGGCTGCGTTAATATGAATTTATGGACCTCATTGCATTGCGGATCCAATCTCTGCTGTGTTTCATGTATGATGCAAGTCCTTGTTACAGTATGTGATTGTCTCTAAGTGCTGAATACAATCATAGTGCTGTGCATCACGGTGCTTAAAAAAGGAAAACATGTAGAAAAGAACTTTCGTTCTTGTGGAAAAAAATACTAAATGTACAAAGTCAAGAGATCGGGATCATTTACAAGAGTTAATTTATGATCAGAGAGAAAGTGCAAAGTTATTTATGTTAATATGTGGTATAAAAACCACATGAAGGGTTTGAAGGGTTTTTAGCATTTAGCAATGTTAATCTTTTTTAACAATCCTCTTTATTTTAGATTTGTGTTTATTTTTAAAGCCTTCTACATAATATGTGTAGTATTTGCCTTTTAAAACTAAAGGCAAACGTTTATGCTATAGGCAAATGTATTAAACAAGTTGCAATGAGATGCGCATACCTCAGCACACGATTCTCAACCATGGTGAGGATCAACAAATTTTAAATCAGTAAAAATATGAACTCTGTTCCACATGACAGCTAACTGACAGTGACAGCAGCAGCAGCATAAATTAAGCCAGTAAAATTTAAAACAATGATAATATTTTAATAATAATTAACATAAAATGTTTTCAAGCTGCAATGCATGCTGGGAACTTGTGCAATATTGTTCAATGTAAAATTGTTTGTTCAGATGACTCAATTTGAAAGGTTGGGAGAACATTTGGATATGTTGTGAACAAATACTTGAGTATCTAAGTAAGGTAAACAAAACAAATTTAGCTAGCGACATGTTCAGAGCACTTTTGTTCAGTTCACACAAAAAATTAAACTGACTTCTCCTACTAAAAAATCTTTGTTCGGGCTACTTTTTTACATTGGTTAGTAGAACTTGTAGTAGACTACTACTTGTAGTAGACTGTAGTAGAACTAGTTGGATTTTTACAGTGCACTTTTATGTTGCTCCAAACCTGTATGGAGTGGAACACAAAAGAAGAAATGTTTTTGCCCATATGTGACAGTCAATGGGATCCAAAACAACCCAAATGAACCCTATTGACTTTTAGTATATGGACAAAAACACAAGACATTTTTCAAAAACCTTTCATGTTCCACAGAAGAAAGTAAGTCATACAGGTTTGGAATAGCACAAGGGTGAATAAATGATGACAGAATTTACATTTTTGGATCAACTATTCCTTAAAATAATGCGCTTTCTTTTTTTTGATATGGTATTTGTCAGTATTTAAAAAAAAATATAGCCGAGACTCTAATCGCTCTCAAACTAGCCTTTTCATAGCAGTGAATAACAGTACTTGCTTTGGTAGTCTAAATCCACTTTATATTTCTATAAGCATATGTATATATATATATATATATATATATATATATATATATATATATATATATATATATATGCATGTCAGAATGTCAGATTAATTCTTTCAGTAGGTTAGTATGTTTATGTATGTTTAAATACATAGCACCATGGTCCTGTGATGCATAACATTTCATTCCTTCATATGTCTCCATATATGGTGGAATGACAATGAAGCTCACTTGAACTCAGAAAAATGTAGATGTAAGCATTCCCATGCACCAGAATGCCATCTAAGCATCCTAATACACCTCACAGAGGCTGGATGTTGTTCACCTTTGGAATAATTTTCCCTGAACCATCCAAACATATGCCACTGTACTGGCTAGAAAAAAAAAAACGAAATTTGCCTGTAGGTCCGGTGAGACTTTGCCTTTTTAAAAACATTAATATGAATAACAGGGCGTGATGAGCTCACAGTGCCCGAGGCTCGTTCCCTGTCAGTTCTAGAACTATGATTTATTCAATAGCCTTCTAGAAGCACGAGCGACAACGGCCAGCTCCTGTACTCCCATGAAAACCATGCTCAGGTTTATGTCTGAATTAATCATTCATGTATGTCAATTATTTAAGCATGCATGTCATTCGGACAGCGAAAGCCTCGCCATTTTTCAAAAGACAGCTGTAAACTACATGTAGAAAAATGGATAAACAACTGTTTTGCATACTGGTAAGGAAAAACGCAATGAATAAAAATCCAGTTCAAGTGAGATCTTGTAACCACAGCGAATAAATAAGCACTTTAAATCATATACAAATGACTGAAACAGTGTATATAACTAGATGTATAATAGTAGGGGAAACTGGGGTGAGAAACCAAAGGTCAAGGTTTAGCTCATTAACACAGGCTCCATTATAAACCCTTCTGGAAGATGCTGTAATGACACCATATTTCTCCATTAAAGGTTATTAAAAGATATCTGTATTCTGCATTATTTTTAATTTTGAAACAAAAAAAAAATGCAAAAATGTAATTATATTAGATGGTAGATAGTAGATATTTCACAAGTGCCTGATCCTTTTAGGAGGCTCTAAAAAAAGTGTGAAATTTACATAATTTTCCCTGTCTGCTGCCGTTAACGTCATAGCTCAGGATAGTCATTAGTGAAGGGTTTGGGACTGTACATTTTCTTGTAGAGTCATCATTGTCATGATGTAATTTTCATGCTGTAAAAAAAGAAAACGGGCAGTATAACTGAGCACCCATGAGCTAAGATGGGATCCTCCGCCAGATGTGGTGGAAGCGAAGTGCCATTGAAATAAATGGATACACTAATGACTAGTTATAGTCAGTTACCAGTTCAGCCAATCAAAAATGAGCTACAGGGGTGAAATTACTACAATACACACTGTAAAAAATGCTTGTGATTTTAACAGTAAAAGGCTGTAAAAATGCTACAGTAAAAACCTGTTAACAGTAAGTTTCCATACTATATTCGGTGAATAAATGTAATTACATTTAATGTGATTCTACAGTAAAATACTGTTAAAAATACAGTTTTTGGAAGTGAAAAAGAAAAAGTCATTGTATAATTTACAGTGAAAAAGCGTAAATTGACACTCCCAGGATTCCCTGCATGACACTTCATATTTGATGTTTTTATTTTGTTGAAATAACGTTTCTTAGTTTTTTCTTATCAGTTGTGTACACTAGGGTTTAATCTTACATCTAATGTTGTTAAATTAATGTTTATTACATTATTTCAGTATCATGTGTGTCACCATGATGGGGTTTAGTGTTTGTGTGAATGATACTGTGCAACTTCTATATATAAATATTGCCCTCCTCAGCTCGTAGAAAAGCTGTTTGTGATGAGCTTTGGTTCATCATGTAACTTTCTCATCACCACCAGTTTTTGGTGGTCATCAGTGCATTACAGTGGTTCAAAACAAATATGTTGGTTTATTAACATTACATCAGTTAATGAAATACAGTATTTTATTGTGAATTTAAGTTAAGTCTGTAAAACCTAAAATGTTGCTACCATATTTTTTACGGTGAAGTTCTGGCAACCACAGCTGTCTGTATTTTACCGTAAATGTCACAGATTTAATTTTTTTTTTTTTTACAGTGCATGATCACTAACCTCCTGAGGTGACAATGTGTACAAAATTGACAGGACAAAAAAACTATTTCAGTATAAGAAAGTCACCTTTCTAGCCTGATTTATAATGTGATTTAAGACCATATTAATCAGTGTCTCATCTGAATCAGCAGGTTCTTGCATTCAATTTGATTTACAACATCAAAGCACATTTTTTCGTCTACATTTGAAAAGCTGACCAGACCGAGAAGGGTTGTATCACTTTCCAAATACTTTGTTATACCCACAAAAATGGCATAGTGTATACATCTGCCACACACACACTGTTAGCATACTATATCTATGTGTTCTATATTTGCTTCCAAACTTTATTTGCTGATTAAAATGTTTCCTTTTCATTTATCTTTATAAATTAAAATGGTTCAAATGAAGTGAGGGTGGTCGAATGATAGTCTATAATAATTAAGTAAATTTGTATAGCCTGCCACAATAAAAAAAAAAAGTACAAATGGCCATGTTTTCAGTTACAACACACCTTGGTAGTGAGGTTTAGGATAGGCTACTTGACATTAACTTACACAGTTAAGGGACAAATACTAGGTTTCTAAACTACTTTAATCTGAAGCAGACCAATATGGGAATATTATACAAAAACACGACACACAGTGCAAAAACATATGGAATTACAATGACAACCGATTATCTGTCAAAATCGCGTCATGAATTGTAATAGTCTTGACATATCAACAAAACAATCACGAAACAAGTAAAACAGTCGATAAAAATAAAGCGTAATACTCACTTTCGTAGTTCAAGTTAGTTCCGTGCTTGGGTTCCCAGTGGCTCACCAATCCGAGCTCATTTAAAGCGAAGCGCGCACGCCAGTGTTTGCTTTAAAACATTGTCTCCAAGCGCAGAAAGAAATAATATGACGACGACTTGTAGGTCTTTAAACCGTTTCGCGTTAAAAGCACGTCCCATGAAGTCAGACGAATTAAATAACGGCTCGCGCAAAGCTAAACGCGTGCAGATCCACAGAAGATGAAGGTGTGCTGGAGGGATACTGGATGATCGTAGTGTCAGTGCGCGGGAACAATGTGCACGATGATGTGGAATTGGTAGGCGAAACACAGAAGCATGAGCGAAAGCGTGATACACATGTCTCCTCCCCCAGGTCCTGCCTCACTCCAAGCGCGTACGGCACGCTGATGCATTATATCCCTCATTTCATCAATGCATTTGACACGGGATGCTGCTAAAGATATCATGTAGGCTAGTTGTAAATCGATGCAGGACAATTCAATAATGACATATGTGATGCAACTGCACGGTAAGATCAATGACAACCTCTTATGTCTCACGGCAAAGGTCACATCACATGCATGTGTAACATTAGTAATTATATTTTTAAATAAATATATTTTTTTGCATTATGTAAACTACATAAAATAAATGAATAAATACAAACAACACTGGACTTCGGATAAGAGTATATATATATATATTAATTTTTTAATTCTCATTTTAAAGTTACATAATTTGTTTATTTTATTGACACATTTACATACCTACGTATAGGCTATATTTATTTATTGTAGTTTTTTGCATTATGCAATCTACATAAATAAAAGAAAGATAGATATAAGCAAGAAGCTGCAAAACGTTGAAATGCACTCAACTTAAAAGTAAAAATTCTGTCATTATATAGACTCAGCTTTATCCGAAGTCCAGTGTTGTTTGGATGCCAGTGTTTCTTAAATATCTTTTGTGTTCTGGAGAATATAGTCACAAGAATGAGTAAATCATGACCATTTTAATTTTAGGTGAACTACCCCTTTAAGAATAACAAATCAAGTAAATGTCAGTTGGTTGAATTCAGGTATGTTACTCCTGTACTTAGTTTACACATGTATTTAAGAGAATATTATTTTTCATGAGCCACCAGCTCACACTGGTTGTATGGTAGAACATTAATCATCATTGATGTTCAACAAGTATGACATGTTACCTATGAGTGAAACATGTAAAAGAGAATACCTGTGGTGAACAGCTGCAGGCTATGTGAGAAAGAAAATATTTATAATTCAGAAAATGAGGGCACTACATTTGGAAAGAAAATATATAAATCAATCATCTTAATGCCATAAACGTGAAGCGTTTTAATAGACAGACATTCTTAAAAAGTATACAGTGGGGCAAATAAGTATTTGATACACTGCCGATTTTTCAAGTTTTCCCACTTACAAAGAATGGAGAGATCTGTAATTTTCATCGTAGGTACACCTCAACTGTGAGAGACAGAATCAAATTTTTAAAAAAATCCAGAAATTCACATTGTATGATTTTTAAATAATTAATTTCCATTTTATTGCATGAAATTAGTATTTGATACAATAGAAAAATGTAATTGTAAAAACTTTACAATTACAGAGGTTTCCTGTGGTTTGCACACACTGCAGCAGGGATTTTGGCCCACTCCTCCATACAGGTGTTCTCCAGATCTTTCAGGTTTTGGGGCTGTCGCTGGGCAACATGGAGTTTCAGCTCCCTCCATAGATTTTCTGTTGGGTTCAGGTCTGGAGACTGGCTAGGCCACTCCAGGACCTTGAAATGCTTCTTAAGGAGCCGCTCCTTAGTTTCCCTGGCTGTGTGTTTGGGGTCATTGTCATGCTGGAAGACCCAGCCACGACCCATCTTCAATGCTCTTACTGAGGGAAGGAGGTTGTTGCCCAAAATCTCACGATGCATGGCCCCATCCATCCTCCCCTCAATACGGTGCAGTCATCCAGTCCCCTTTGCAGAAAAGCACCCCCAAAGCAGGATGTTTCCACCCCCATGCTTCACGGTTGGGATGGTGTTCTTGGGATTGTACTCATCCTTCTTCCTCCAAACACGGCGAGTGGAGTTTATACCAAAAACTTCTATTTTGGTCTCATCTGACCACATGACCTTCTCCCATGCCTGCGCTGGATCATCCAGATGGTCTTTGGCGAACTTCAGACGGGCCTGGACATGTGCTGGCTTGAGCAGGGGGACCTTGCGCGCGCTGCAGGATTTTAATTCATGACGGTGTAGTGTGTTACTAATGGTAACCGTTGAGACTGTGGTCCCAGCTCTCTTCAGGTCAGAACCTTCATCACCTTTCTCAGGATCATTGATACTCCACAAGGCGAGATCTTGCATGGAGCCCCAGTCTGAGGGAGATTGACAGTCATCTTGAATTTCTTCCATTTTCTAATAATTGCGCCAACAGTTGTTGCCTTCTCACCAAGCTGTTTGCCTATTGTCCTGTAGCCCATCCCAGCCTTGTGCAGGTCTACAATTTTGTCCCTAATGTGCTTAGACAGCTCTTTGGTCTTGCCCATAGTGGAGAGGTTGGAGTCTGATTGATTGAGTGTGTGGACAGGTGTCTTTTATACAGGTAACGAGTTCAAACAGGTGCAATTAATACAGGTAATGAGTGGAGGATAGGAGGGCTTCTAAAAGACAAACTAACAGGTCTGTGAGAGCCAGAATTCTTGCTGGTTGGTAGGTGATCAAATACTTATTTCATGCAATAAAATGGAAATTAATTATTTAAAATCATACAATGTGATTTTCTGGATTTCTTTTTTTGATTCTGTCTCTCACAGTTGAGGTGTACCTACAATGAAAATTACAGATCTCTCCATACTTTGTAAGTGGGAAAACTTGAAAAATCGGCAGTGTATCAAATACTTATTTGCCCCACTGTATGTGGGGGCGTGTTAGAACGAGCCGTTTTAGGTAGGTGTGGCTGACTCTGAACTTTTATAAAGAATACCTCTTTGGATTTGAGACTTTAGTCTTTGCAACTTTACAGATCTTCTTTATGCACCAAGAGCTTGTAACACTCCAAAGAGAAAGGAAAAATTGAAATCGCATCATATGACCCCTTTAAGGGAATAGTTCACCCAAAAATGAAACTTTGCTGAAAATGTACTCACCCTCAGGACATCCAAGATGTAGAGAAGTTTGTTTGTTCATCAAACCAGATTTTATATCTTAGATCTGTTTCACTTCTGAAGTAAGCATTATTATGGATTATGGACTTGTAGTTTGGCCAGAAGCAAAGGATTAAAGTCCCTATTCACTTCACAAGACATTCATTGATAAAGAGAGGTGTGGATTACTAGTGGATTATAGTCATGTTTTTATCAGCTGTTTAGACTCTCATTCTGACGGCACCCATTCACTGCAGAGGATTCATTGGTGAGCAAGTGAAGTAATGCTACATTTCTCTAAATATGTTCTGATGAAGAAAGAAACTCATCTATATCTTGGATAGTCCGAGGGTGAGTACATTTTAAGCAAAAGGACAAGTAGCCTAATGGTTGGACTGGAGTTTGAGAGACATTAATTAATTTATTGGTTTTAAACATTAAAAAAGCATCAAAATTAACTATTTTATGTTAAAGGGGTCATATGATGCTTTTTTAAAGATCATTATTTTGTGTATTTGGTGTAACAGAATATGTTGACATGCTTTAATGTTCAAAAAACACATTCTTTTTCAAATACTGTACATTATTGTAGGTCCTCTATGCCCCGCCTCTCTCAAACGCTTCATTTTCTACAAAGCCCCCTCCTTTGACAAGCGCAGTCTGCTCTGATTTGCCAGCTGACCCTGTGCATTGTGATTGGCCGAACACCGCAAGTACTCGTCGGAAATGTAATGCCCCTTACCATAATCGTGAGCTTCATCTTTCAAAATAAATGTAAAGACAGAGCCTGAAAGGGGAACAGAGTCTCGTGACAGACACAGTGATGAAGCTGGGATGTGTTTGCAGTACACAAGCCACGGTTAAGACAGCTGACTCCACTGTGATGTGATCCTGTTTCTCTCTCTCTCTCTCTCTCTCTTTGTCTCTGTCTCTCTCTCTCTCTCGCGCGCGCTCTCTCTCTCTCTCTCGCACACACACACACACACACACACACACGATGCGCAAAACTCTGCATTTGAACAGTCCATAACAAATACTTAAACTAGTAACAAAACAGTAGCTGATTCAGAAGCGCCGGATTGTCATAGCAAAGTCAGAATTACTTCCTCTCCTAGGTTCACGAAACGGTGAAACATAAAATGCATTGCTGTTCTGTTGTAAGTAATCTTAAAGATTCCTAAATGCATCTACTTTCGGAAGGCCAAATAAAGTGCTTTTGCTTTCTCCTAGAAACACACAGAGTCTCCCTGACATGCTGATTCAACACTAACTGCGGTTACTGAAACCACGCCTTCTTTCTTTGCGTGAACATTTGGGAGCATTATGCAGATATTTCCACATAGTGAGGTAGATATGTGGGGGCATGTTAGAACGAGGCGTTTTAGGGGGGCGTGGCAGAGTCTTAACTTTGATAAAGAATATCTCTTTGGTTTTGAGACTTTAGTCTTTGCAACTTCAGGGATCTTATCTATGCACAATCAGCTTGTAACACTCCAAAGAGAAAGGAAAACTTGAAATCGCATCATATGACCCCTTTAAAAAGAATAAGTCAATGTAATACTTAAATTGCTCATTTATAAATATATATATATAGCCTTTATTTCAAAGTGAAGTTGAGAAAACAGTAAAGTTGAGATTGGTGACATGACAATTTGTCAATTGCTTAAATTTTTTATTTTAATTATGCTTAGCTACTATCATTACAAATTTGTGTTGCTGGGGTACATATGCACAAAAAACCATGTGACATTTAAATTGATTAACATTGTACAATATGCAGTATTGTTTCATTGGGACATAAAATCCCCAAACTGTAGGAATGACCCAAATGGATCATTAACAAACAGTGTTGGGGATTCTTACTCTTAAAAGTAATGCATTACAATATTGCGTTACTCCATAAAAAAGTAACTAATTACGTTACTTAGTTACTTTTTATGGAAAGTAATGTGTTACGTTACTTTTGCGTTACTTTTTAAATCTGGACAGGGCTTGCTTGTTTGTTTTTAAAATAAAAAATCATATTTTTGGCAAATATAAAAGCCTTTTCACACCAAATTTGAAATGAATAAGCCTCAGGCTGAAGGGAAAGTAAATTTACGTCCGTACAGTAGAATGCAGAAGAAGAATTTTCAACACACTTCAGCAATAAAAAAGACACACAAATGTTTGTCTAGAGTCATTTTTGCTTATTAGTATGGTTGAACTGGATCATCGAAGGTCAGAAGCAAAGACATTGGTTA